TCTCGTTTTTCGTTCGTCACTTTATATACGAGAGTTCGTTTGTCTGTGTTATCGATGTATGTGTATATATGTACAGTTCTAATACGTGTCTGCATCTCTGCCGAAACGTTTTTCATTTTGAAAAATACAGCAAACACACGTGCTCATCGTTGAAAATTCAATATTTTGTTGAAAAAATTGCTCTGCCAACTCTTTGGTAATCGTACTAAATGGAATTGGATTAAAACCGAACGAAAAATTGTGATACATATGAGCGCTGTATATGAGAGAAGGCAAATGACACCGACTCACCCACACTTGAATTCAAAAAGCATATGTATGGCACTATTTATCAAGTGTGCCTGCATTCAAATATGCATGCATTTTATTGAATGCCCCAAAAATTGCACAAATATTCAATTCAATTCAGAGTCAGTCTTAAGCCATGATTTGTTGTTTTGAGTAATGTTTAAATATTCTCGATTGAGCTCGATATCAAATTGAACGGATGCATTGATATTCAATCAAGATTTATGCAAAACTTAAAATGTTATACGGAAGAAACGAGAAATTTCTAATTTATTGATTAGCATAAACCAAATTGAGGTCGATGGTACAGAAGTCAACATCATGTGCCTCACATATATGATTATAAAAAAAAAAAATAAATTGGTGTGAAATCTGGTGGCCGAGAGAGAAACTCTTTGAATTCGAAAACACCATGGAAAAATGTACACACAAGTGAATCGGCCACATGATTTGCAATTGAAACATCAGTTTTGTACGATATTCACGCTTGGCATTCGTGTATGACCTTCTTTGGTAATCTTGGATTTAAGGTTTTGCATCAAGTGCAGCTTTTCTGCCCATACATTGCGCCCACCCACCAAATACACACAAAACAATTCAACTTGGGAAAATATCATCTGCCTGACACGATATGACAACAATATGACTCTTATTTGAATTGTTTCAGTCTCTTTTGTCCGGATACAAGCGGAGATAAATATAAAACTGCTTTTCTCTCACATTACACACATCGAAAAAAAATGATAATTTCCAATGGTGCATGCATCGTCGCCGGAGCCGCCACTGCCGTCGTCGTCGTCGTCAATGGCTCCTAACACTTTCGAATTGAATTAAATGTGTATAATTATTACTGACGATTGTCTATCTACGTAAGCAGGCTAGGAAGAACATTTACTATCACTCGGTAGATTGAACATATACTATCTCTCTCGCTACATCCAAATGAAAATTAATGGTCGAAACACAGCTCTATCTCACTTCATATTTTGAACAGATTTACTCGTGCGAGCTAATCAAAACATGATATACACACTCCATCATAATAATTGTGCGCTTAAAGTGGCTACTTCAAAGCATCATTAACTATGGCAATGATTAAAGACGCCATTTAAGCTGACTCTCTCATCAGACGAAACATTTATATCTTTAGTAATTCATAGCAGCAGAGTTTATGGGAGAGTGATTATTGCACGCCAATTCAGAATACATCCGTTTAGATTTGGTTTTTGTTGTTGTTGTTGATTTTCTTTTCATTTTCTGGTGGTATGAATGCTATCGACTATCTTAATTTCTTGATCGCATATATAGAGATGGTCACAATTTATTAAATATCATCCCAAAGTGAAGTGGAACGGCATTTCTCTCTTCTCATCTTTTTTTTTCTTCACATTCACACATAAAAAGTGTGTGTCTGTGTTTGGTTGCTTTTACCTTGCCTAGCAATCTCATTTACAACAATATGCTTTCGTTAACTTCCTTCTGATGTGTGACTCTGCTTCTCGAGAGAAAGTATCTCGACGAGAAATGCAAAATCGAATCGAACACATACGAGCAAGCAGTTAAAAATATACTCAATTATTTGTTCATATTATACACATAAGTCGTCTCTCTTTATCTCTTCTCACTTTTTATATATATATATATATTTAGTAAATTAATCTGCGAACTGTGACATTCATTTGTACTGCTTCGGTTTCGTTATGATTGGATTGGATTGGTTTCACGCGCGTGAGATTTCAGCATGCCAATGCCTGTGTGTATTTCACACGAGATACCAAATAAATGAAGGAATGAGTTAATATTTTGTCTAGTCTGCATTTCAACATATTTACATGTTAGGACAAAATATGTAAGATTGCAGCTTAAGACAACGAACAAATGAAACACTCACAGAAATTACTATGTTAAAGCGGAAAAAAACCTCATCAAATCATAACAATCACATACTGCATAATTGATCATGCACATTTTCATATAGATATTGTTATAAAACAAAGAAGTATTGCAATAAAATTGCATAGCACTGCCATTGCGATGACGAAAAATGTCTACAAAATGCGGTCATTCGGTGAAAGGTCGGATGGAATATTTCATGAAAGAAAGAGACAGCCGAAAAGTGACACGGAGCGCGCGAGAGAGAAAATCACAAACGTCATGATGATTTGTTTGTCGAAAGAAAAGAGATCAGACTCTATTTGCTATCACTCGTTCGTAGAAAATAACCATTCGCATATTCGATTATCGATATTATTATTTTTGTCGTTTGTTTGCTTCGTTTTATCGCTCTCTTTGCCGATTCAATTCTCACCGTCGACAACAACAGCGACATGCTTGTGTTCCACTTTACAACGTTACCAATATTATTAACGGTGTGATCATTTAACATTTTATGAGCTCAGAATATACGTATGTGGTAATGAGGATTGGAGAAGAGCGAATTTTTCTTTCTTATTTTACATTCATTGCTAATAAAAAGTATAAATGAAAGGCGCCTTTTGAAAATAAAAAGAAATCCGCATGAAATATTTCACCTCTTCTTTTTTTTCATAGAATTTCTACACAGTGTATGGAAATCAACATTTTTAACATTGACAAGTTTCGCAAGGGCTGATTAGTGTCGTTTGCTTTTTTTTTGTCGATTCTCAATAGAATACTTCACTACACTCTACTTTAACTCTTTCTTTTTAAATCTCATTTCTTGATGTGAATGTCCTTTTTTTGAGCAACAAAAAAGAACTCAAATTTCGTAAAGAAAGCGAACGAACGGAAAAAGAAGAGTGCTAGAATGTGCGTAAGCCCAGTTTTCGTCGTGCATCTCTTTTTCTTCGTCTCGATGTCGATTTTGTTGTGTTTTTTTTTTAATTTTATTTTTCTTTTGCTTGACGGCGTTTGGCTGTATTTCATCGAAGCATATTTCACATTTATTTTTAATTGAAGTCACACGAAGTCAAGTCACATAGTGAAAATGTATCTCAGATTGAAGTTAAGAGATTTTGAAAACTGCTTGACCGAATGTTTCCGTTATTTTTAAAAAATTTGCGCTCATTTGCACGGACGGATTTTCATTTAATCACATTTGTGTGCTGTGATGTGTGTGAGAGTGTGTGTGAGAGTGTGTGTGTCGCGCACATCGCATAATATATTATGTGTCTTTTATATTTTCGAAACGGATATGTCTCATGCCTGCTTGGATATAGATATATGTATATAAATATAAAATAGATTCTGTGTGATGTACGGTATGTCAGTCCTGAAATTATTCGATATGTATGTTTTGGCTAGTGCGTGCGGTGTGACGAAAATGACCGACAAATATTAGGTCATACATCTATTTCATAAGGCAAATAGTTCGATATGCGGTGGATGAATTTTCGCCGCACCGAATGCAACAACAACACTAAATGTTGAGAAAATATATATAGTGTTCATGTGTGATAGGCAGCAATTTAATTAGAATCCCAATTGATGTGAGTGCGTTTTTCAGGTTCGGGCTGATGCATGTCACATTTCGCACTTCGATTGAATTTAGCCACCATCAGTATGTGTCACATCTCGCTTATAGAATTTTTCTTGAACACAATGGTTTTCGACGAGTGTCGGAAAACTATGACTTCAACCCATCTATAACGAATGTAATGTTTGATTTAGGGGCAGAATGTGAGAAATGCATGCAATTTATCAGCTAATTGTCAGCATTAGACGTTGTTGTGGGATTTTTCTCTATTTATTTTTTGTTGTTTTTCTAATTCGTTCTGTTCCTTTGTGTGTTTTTTTTTTGATCTTCCTCACCATATATTATTCTCTCTAGCACAAATGAATTAGGAAAAGATATTTGACTATATATCAAAAGTCACACACACACACACACATACTCAGATCACATATCACATTCATAATTACATATTGCAAACGACAATGATATAAAAAAAAAATCACGCATCATATATCGTCGGAAATCTATTTTTGTTTCGTTACGGAACCTTTCATCACTTTGATTTTAAAATACAGTTTTTGCCGCAATGCTGGTGCTTCTTCTTCATTTTTCTTCATTCCATTATTAAAATAACATTATTGTACATAATTCCTTGTCTCATTTAGACACAATTTACAAAAAACGTATTAGGTACGATAATGAATGACAGCAAACGTAAGTGATAAGATGTTATCATCTTAAACGATTCGGTTGTCGTGCAATTGAATGCAAAATATTTTACCAAAAATTAATTCGAATCACTGTGTTAATTGTTTTTTTTTTCTTGATAAATTTTCATTTCGGAAGACGATTTTCCTTTTGAACTTTAACATTGATGATCGATGAAATTTACACTTTTTTTGTTTTCTTTTAATTCATTCGAATTATTCTCAAAATTCAATTCGGTTGTTATATTCCATTTTTCGTTGTTTTTTACTCATTTTAACTGCACTCAATTTTATAATTGTAATTTATCAATTTGGTGTTGTATTTTATTTTCGTTCAGTTTTATTTATTTATTTTATCATAAATTGCAATGGAGAATATCTATTGCTGGCAAATGCATTATTGTGGTGATTTGTTTGTATTTTTCTTCTGTTTATTTGTTCGAGATTTCCGAGAGAACGTCACTGATTGTGTGTGTGTGTGTGTCGTGTTTATGGTGCTAATATGCAGTTGCACTATTTCATTTTTATGAATGGAAAATATGCTACACAAAACCGAAAACAAAAACACATACCTTTTCCTTGGCTCGGCCTGCATGTTTTTGTACCGATTTCGCTAACAGAGAACCTTTACTTTCGGCCATTTTGCCCAATGACTCTACGAGACTGATCGCTACTTCATTTGATTCATAATCATGAACAATAACACTTGCAAACGGTATACTCTGTGTCGATTCGCTCACACTTGTTACATTCGTATTGTTGTCTCTGTCGCATCTCACGACTTTTGTTTCGGTTCTGTTGTTATTCTTTTTTTTGTCATACGTACTTTAAATGTGTCAAACATACGGCGGAGAAGAGCTTTCACGTACAAACACACACACACATATACATACACAAATTCAATCACATGCATGCGGCAGCGGTATCCAATGTATTTGTATACGAAGCAATTGCACGAAGAAAAGGGACAACCACATGATACATCGAGTTTCGGTATTCTTTGTACTTTAGATTGTTATTTCATTGGAATGTTAACTGAATACTGCGTTTTTTTTTTCAGAATCAGAAAGCCGACAAGTTTTTTTCGCATTTTCTAAATCAAATCTCGAATTCGAACGTTTGGCGAAATAAATATTTTTTTCCGTATTAAGCTGATGAAACATTTACAATGATAATAATCGTTAATTTCGAAATATTTTTAAAATGTTGATGACCTGAAATGTTTTGGGAAGATTTGCATATTTTTTCATTCGATTTGACCTAAAAATAATAATTAATTTTGTTGTCGTCTTCTTTCACTTTACTCGGATTTTTTTGCACAAGAAGAGGTAATGAACGACCCATATTGTTTTTTTTCTCTTTTTTTCAATTCTCATCTCCGAAATAAATGCATAGAATTTAATTCAGAACAATAAAAAAATGGAAATTGAAATAATGTTTATTTTAGACGAAAAAAAAAGAGTCATGCGTAAAAATGTGAAAATCGATTCAGTCATTTATAGTTTTGAGATTGAAATTCATCCATTCTCGAGAAAAAAATTTCGTTGTAGAAAAAAGTGTAAAATTTGGTTTCATGATCGACGTTTGAAAGGTCGTCGTTGAGATGGTCGTCTGGCGCCCATAAATCGACCGCGGTAAAATGGTCGCATTGGCGGTCGCATATGTGGCCCATAAAAATGTGGATCATGCATAGGTGGTGGCATTGGCGGACGAAAACCATTCGGCGGAAATAATTCAGGCATATGCATTGATTGCATATAATTTGGCATTGCATATGCTGGATGTGGCACCTGTTTCAATTAAAACAGTAAATAAATAAATAGAAACTTTGTATTTCATTCAATAGAACAAAAAAAAAATGAAAAATCAACACCAACCGGAAGAATGATGATTTGAGGCTGATTGGTCATTTCGTCTGCAGTTCGATTTGGTTCCGCTGCCTGTTGACTTTGATTTCGATTTTGAATTTGATTTGGATGCGTTGGTCGATTTGCATTTTCCATGCGCTTCTGTTGAAGGTATTTTTCATATCGTTTACGTTTCTTCTGTGCGCGAGTTGGTTGAGTATTTAATTGACTGTTTTTTTCAATTCGTTCTTTTTCTCTTGCCGGATCGACATAGTATGGCCTCGATTTCTCAACCTAAAACACAGAATTTGTGAATAATATTCAGAAATCGAAAGCCGTACTCATAAAAATGGATGTCATTTACTGAATTCGATGAAGATGATGTCGTTGACGATGATGTTGACGACGATGCAGAATCCGAAGTATATGAACTTATTGTTGTTGTTGATGATGACGATGATGACGACGAAGACCTTCGCCTTTTGCGAGAGTGTGTTTGTCTGTGATTGCTTGGTCGATTTGATGATGTTCCCGATGTTGACGGTTGTGGTTCTCTCAATCGATGTCGTTCTTCTATTTTATTTAAATAAAAATCAATTTTTTCATTAATTTTCAATTAGCGCAAACATTTCGGTGAGTTAAAATCTTCTTCTTTTTTTCAATCATTCTAAATTCTGTTTCTCACGAAAAACTTAAAAATTAATTCGTGCTCAATATTATTCTTTCAATTTCATTGAATTCAAAGTAATTTATACGAATGTTTTGGTCGAATTATTATTCTAGAATATTTAAACAATTCACTTAGTCAATCACAAGGAAAACAATAAAATTTGACTAATGTTTCTTTCTTTTGTTTTTTTTTTTTACAACGAACGTTATTTTATGCCTAGACCTAACCAAATTACCTAGACCTTTTTCCAGTGATTAACTGCTTTTCAATAATTTGTTCTTCAATTTGATTATCGAAGTGTTTTTCTGAAAGAATTGAGAGCTCGGAGGGGGTTGGGGGTAATTTTCCATTTTATCTAGTGTACATTTCTGGCAAAATTGATGACCAAAACAAAAATTTTACCCCTCCGCACATTAATGTCTTAATCTATCAACTTTACGGTGGAGCGCAAAGCGATGTGTTGAAACAACACAGTTGATTGAGGTGTAAATTTGTTTTGAATTTTTTTTTCGACGGATTGAATTTAAAAGCGAGTTTAAGTGATAGACGATTTTCCATAAATCATTCCCAATTCGTTTGGAGTATACAGATAACTGTGTGCATATTGATCCACTTCATCTGCTGTTTTCCTTTTGTTACCTAAGAAAAAAGACACATTTTTAATATTCTGTGAAATAAATTGATTTAAAAATAAAAATAAAATATTAATTTGCCAAACCATCGTTGGATGCCACTTAATAGGTTGTTCACTTAAAGTTGCCATGTTGATTGCCGATCGTCGTTGTTGAGTTGATTGATGGTTAATTCAGGCTTTTATAATCATTGCAAATTGTATAAATATCCCGTGTCACTGATTCAGACACTTTTCAATTGGCACCATTTTTTGGATATTAATTTTTGAAATTAAAGACATGACACTATGTCCGAAAAATGTGAGCTACGATGTTTTAGTGTTCTATCCCATTTTTTGTTCGCTTCAACGAATTTCTTTTAAGTTTAGAAGAAGAAGAAGAAGAGTTGAAGTTTTTAATAATAATTAATTTCGTGCTCCAATTCGGATAATCAAATAGTCCAAATTGATTTTGGATTTAAATTCGAGTAAAGAGATAAAATGGAAATGATATCATATAAATAGCTATAAATTATGAAGCTATTCCGTTTGAAGGGGGTCAATCTTGAAAATCCATCGATGGTTTTTAAATTTCAATAATTCAAAAAAGTCATTCTTCTGTGGATAGAAATTCATGTTCGTACTGTATTTAATAATGTCGAACTATTGAAATGAATGTCGCGAACAAAGACTTAAAAATCAATTCGTGCTCAAAATTATTCTTTCAATTTCATTCAAAGTAAACTTATACGAATTGAAATAACTCGTTATTGTTGAAAAGTTTTTTTTTAAATTTTTTTTTTCAATTGAAAAGTGGCTGCAATCCAACCAGGTGACAATTATATATTTGCAAGTTAGCCTTGAATTCGATAAATTGCTGTGAAAAATTCGAAAAACAACATCATACCGGCAACATTGTTTATTTTTGGCCTCTCTCGAGCGTTTTCCGATTCGGATTCATCATCGTCCGATGAACTATTGTGACGATACTGCCTTGGCAAAGGCTTGGATTTTTTGCTAGAAATGAAAAAAAACAATTTAATTAATTTTTTAACTTTTTTCCCTGTAAAAATGAATTTAAAATTCAAGGGCGCAATTTTATGTTACGTATTCGTATCGGAAACTGTAAATAAAAAAAATATATAAAAATTCGATTTTTCATTCATTTCTTTTTGGGAAGATAATTCAATTTGGTTTGTGTAAATACCATTTTCTCTCTTTAATTTTTTAAAATATAGTATTTTGTGCAGAAAATTGTTGTTGCATTAATTATTTAAATGAAATAAAAAAGAATCCCCAGGACATATTTACGTACGAGTTTGATGAGGTGCTTGGTCTGTTCATTTTCTGGATTTTCAAAATTGTCTAAACGTTTAAATTTTTAAATTTTTCTATAATTTCCAACAAATAATTACAAAATGCTAAAATTCAATGTACTTCGGCGTTAGTCTCACTCTGCTTTATGGTTCTGTCAATGTCTACACGTGCGATAACACCAAACACGTATATATGTGTGAATGTACGGGTGCGCGTATGTGAATGTGCGGCATGTGTGTTTTGCATATGTTTGCGTATGCCTACCGTGTTATGTCTGTGTGATGTGAGTTAACGTTGTATTCACATACAAGCACATATAAAATAACTTCAAATGTAAATCGTATATAAAAAAATTGTAAAAACTGTTGAAAATGTTTTTTATTTTTTTTGCGAATGGATTTCGTTTAAAATGCACGGTATTTTGAATAAATGCAGAAATGTGATGTAATAATATCAAATTAATCGTTGAAGACGAACAATCAAATGAAATAAATCATTTCTATTCTACTTGAAAAAATAAATTTAATATCTATTCCTAGATTAGATAATTTAATAATTTACCTAGACCTAGATTAATAAATTTGCTCAATTTCACTTTCCTTTTCAAGTCTGATCAATTGAGAACTTCCATTTGACCATTGCATTTATATACAACCTGTGACGCAGTTCATCCAATATTTAATCGGGCGGTCACTTTTCTCTTTTATTCTATTCTCTCTCTGGATCGAGGAAGTATAGCTTCTTTTATGATTTACCAAAAAATTGAAAAGTAGAAAAATTGCTTACATCACTATACAATATACTAGTCGAACATTTGTTGAAATATTTGTAAAAACCTATTTTCAAATTTATACGAACGAACGAAGCCAAACACCACCAAGGAACGGGGTTAATTTCAAAAATTCCGAAACATCTAGGGATCATTTGGTCTCAGACAAAGGGAGTCCTTCAAAAAAAGCTCTATACTCAAAATTACCCATCATCAGCAAGTTGACCTTTCTATTTTGTGATTTAAAGCAACATTTTAAATGCCAAATGAATGAATTTGAAAAAAATCGAAATCATATACAATATATGCGAATTAAAAGCGAACACCATCAAAATGTCATAATTAAATTGTTTTGTTTGTTGTTTGATCAATTAGATCAAATTTGTGATGGTTGCCAAAACCAAAGGTGGTAATAAGCATTTAAAATGTTGTTGTTTTAAAGCTCCAACTTCACTTTCCTTTTCAAGCTCAACAAAATTCAAAATATCCAAAATCATATATTTCGAATGAGATATCTATAAATAAAAAATGTCCAATCATATTATTTTTTATTGTGAACTTCGTTTTTTATTTATTCCTTTTTTTAAATAATATAAATGTTCATGATGTTTGCCTGTGTGTCCACTTTGGAAAAAAAAGTTTGAACAATAAAAAAAATGTCTGGTCAATTGAAGTAGCTCAAGTGTGACAGTGGATGAAGTGTTTTTTTTTTGTTTTGTTACATTGAACATGAAAACATCTGCGTGTAATTTTTGCTGTCAATGAAATGAATGTAGCGAATTTCCATAGAAATTAATTGATATTGTTTGATTTTTTCCACTTTTATAAAAAAAATTGTTTTGTTCTCCTCATTCGTATGAAATAACGTTGAAAATTAATTTAAAAAAAATTAGATGAATAATTATAGTTATAATAATAATGATAATAATATTGAATTTAACATTTTGTTTCCATTTTTTTTCCTCTTTTGAATGCCTAGATAATTATTTGCAGTTTATTCTAATGTGTTTATTTCTTGTTTGCCTGACTGTTTCGTTATTTATTTTGTTTGTTTGTGGTCTGCTTATGAAGAAAAGTATTGAATGTTTTTTATTCGCTTTGATTTTACCGATTAAATTAGGAAAATTGTGACAAAATATGTGATGGACACCACAAACAAACGTGAGAATGGACATTTGATGTTTTGTTGTTTTCATTCTCCGGCTCTTAATAGATCTCTTTCGTTCTCAAGCTCAACTATGGTCGCTTTGTCATTTTTTTTATTTAATTTTCCATTTTTTATCAATCTAGTTTTTTCTTTAAATTCAAACGTTTTCACATTCAAATAACACGTGTGTTGTTCACTCTCATGTAATCCATATCCCGTCATATGAACCTTTTTTGTGATCAAAGTGTTTTTTCTTCTATTCTTTTGTATGTTCTTTTTTAAATATATAAATCTTAGAAAAATACTACGGCGCTTAATTTGTATTTTAACTTGATTTTGTTTTTTCCTCTTTCATTTCACTTTTTTTAATTATTTTTTTTTTTTTCATTTTAGAATAACGCGTTTTACATTCATTTGTGGCGGAATTTTGCACACTTTTGTAAGATGCCAAATTCTCGCCAATGGTATGGTTGTATGTTTGTATGTTTGTTGTTGTCGTTTTGCTACATTGTTGCGCTCATGCGATGGTTGTTTTATTTATTGCTCGATTATTTAATGTTAACAATAAAATATTTTTTTTATGGTTTTTCCAAACAATATGGATCATCTTTTAAAAGAGAGAGTAGAATGATGTTTCTTGTTTTGCTGTTGTTGTTGTTGTTGCTGCTTTTCTTTTAATAAAATATTTTAAGTAATGCACATGCAATAAATTTTCCGCGCATTGAATAGAACTTTGCAATTGTAAACAAATAGTCGATATTTTTTGTAGACTTAACTAACGACGACACAATTTCTTTTTCTTTAGCATTGAAGATGGGTAAAATGAATCCGTTGAAAATGATTTCGGAAAATCCTGATTTTTTATTGGTTTTTTTTTAAATCATACACACACAACCAAGAGGAAGAGACTGAAATCAACGATAAACAAATGCCATTTTGCAAAAAAAAAAAGAAAAAATGATGAGAAAAGAAAAGAAAAACCTAACAGTACATTCGACCAGGCAACTTTTGATTCCGTTACAGTTAAATTTAATTTCTTGATTTTTGTTTGTTTGTTTTCTCTTCATAATTTTCCACAGTTGGACCTTTTACTTATTTTTAATTATTTTTTTTACTTAAATTATACAGATGTGTTTTACTGTTCACTTTGAATTTTCTCTCTCTGTGTTTTTTTGTAATCTGTTCTGTTTTCATGTGTGTTAATATTTATTTATATGGGTGTAGGGTTTTTTCATCATTTTTTTTTCTTCTTTTTTTAGAGTTATAATTGTTAAATTGTGTGTATCATTGTGTAAAAAGAATAGATACGATCGTATTTTCAAATGAATTAACCATCGTTGTCGTCTTCTTCGCCTTCATGCTTTCTTTTGGTTCCCCGAGCTGGTGATTCTTCTGCAATGAAAATAATTGACATGAATCGAATGAAACATTTACATTTTTCATTATTGGCTATTTCCAGGTCTTTTATTGGCATCGGAGTAGAGTAACCGCACTTATTCCATCAAATTTTTCAAGTGCCACAAACGTGAATACAAGAAAAAGCAGCATAAGAAAAGTGGCCACATCTCAGTGGTGCCTCTAACAGCTCTGGCCATTTCGTTTGAAAATTCTCAAGTGATACATTTCCATAAAAAATTGTTATTATACCTTCGTCTTCACCTTCTTCTTCTTCGGCCAAATCGGAATCTCCATCAGAGTCTTCATTTTCGTCAGCTTCAAAGTCATCATCATTGTCATCATTTTCGAGGTCATCGTTATAAACATCGGCCAAACCTGATTTTAATTCAAAAATTAGTTGCTTTAACCTTTTAAATGCAAATGCAATTTCGAAATTCAAACTCTTTCGAATACAAATGTTCGTTAAATTGTTTTTTTTTTCGCCAACAACTTAAAAAAAAATTATTAACCTACCGCCATTTTCTTCACTTTCATCGTCGTCGTCGAATTCCTCTGGATCGTCATCGTCTTCGCCTTCTGTGGAAAACGAGAATGCAGAGAAAGAAAAACCAAATTCAAAACGATGTACATTTCGTATAATGTTGGAATGTGGTTGAGTGTTTTGTGTTCTCTGACGTTTATGATTAAACAAAAAAAATCGAAATTTTCGGCGTATACGTCGGTTTTGTGTTTTAGACATTTTGTTTATGCTTAAATTTTAATCGATTCATTTTACGTTTATTTTAGTTTTTTATGGTACGTTCGTGGTGTGGTGTATTGAAGAAACTTACCATTCGCATTTTTTGAAACTGAAATTTCAGCAAACAAAAAGATAAAAGAAAGAAACATACAAGAAAACATATGTTAAATATTTTGTGTTTGTTCGAATATAATGTGAAGATATATCGATGTGTGAATTTGTAATTTGAAAATGGAATTTTGTTCAAGCGCATTCTTACAATGGATTGAATTCACGATTGCTAGGATGCTCAAGAAGCCAAACAGCAACAATGGAAATGGTGTTGAAATTTGTGCGGCATTTTTATTTGACACAACGGTGGCCACGTTATTATCTGTGGTATGACTAGATTGATTTGATTCTGAACATGATTTCGATCCACTTGGAAGTGATTTTTCTAAATTATTATCGCTTGGTTGGCGGTTTGTTGATATGGATTCATCGTTGTTGGCTCGAAGATCGAGCGCCAATCGATCTAAATATTCATCGATTTCATCAACAGTTGCATTGTCGTTTGACGTTGTCGATGTTTCCGCTGTTGATGGATTCATTTCGGTCCGTTGTTTTCGCTTTTCGACTAATTCTTTTTCGTATAATTCTAGTTCAGTTAAATCAATTTCCAGGCCATTTATACAAAACGGCTTCGAATAGTCTGGAAAATTTCGATTTCATTGTTTATCTTCAGAGAAAAATTCAATTATTTTTGTTTTTTTTTTGACAATTACTTAATAATTTGACTTGAGATGAGATAGAAGTGTACAATGAAATCTATATATGTTGAGTTGTGATGGGTGTTGGTGATTATTGACCGCAAAATTGCGTATTATTTTAATGCGGACAATTTCAATGATATTCCGCTTGGGAGATTTATATGGTGTGTGTGTGGGTGTATGATGCAAAGACAATTGAATATAATGATGAAAATGCTTACCTTCGACGCCATCTTCATCGGAATCATTTCCGTTGACCTCTTCATCGTCTTCGCCATCGGAAACAGCTTCAACATCGTTTACATCAAATCCATCCAAATAGACAAGTGACGGAATCATGGCGAAAATTTTCTGTCGATATGAATCGATTGTGGTTGCCTCATTATTGAACAAATCTAGCACTTCGAGCTCCTTGAAATTATCCAATGGTTTTAATTCTTCCAAGTCTTTGATTTTATTTCCCGATAAATTCAAATGTGTCAGTTTTGTGCTAGCACTTAAATTGTTCAAACCATTTGAAATTCTAAAATGGAACAAACAAAACAAAAAAATCGTTCGGTGAAAGATGGCCGGAATAAAATCGATGAAACTACATTTTTGAAAATGATAAATTTACCTGTTGTCGGATAATTCCAATTTTTTCAAATTTGGTAATTTTGGAAAACCTTTTAATGACGTCAAACCAACATTAATCAAACTCAATGATTCTAATGCTGTGAACTCATCGGTAAGACCAACGATATTTGTACTACGACAGTTATCTAAATTCAGCTCGGTAATCTGAAATTATAAAAAATAAAATAAGCATAACAATAAAATATCATCGGTATCATATTATCGATCAAAATGCTGCATATGAATTGAATTAATATCTAGATCACAAATGCAATGCATATGTTTGTCATTTTCGAGCATCATTTGAATGCGTCACATGTTTTTGTCTATGTATGTGTCGATGTGTGTGAATTTTATCAATTACAACCGACACATTTCATCCAAAGTCCGTTGCATTTAAGCGCTCACTTCGTATTACCGACGCATATACAATGCAACCAATATATACAACAACAACAAAAAACCAAACCAATACGACAATTCAATACACACACGCATATAGAATTTTTTTTTTCTTGTTTACAATGTGTTTATTGGTTTCGTTTTCACGGTCGATATTTGTGAGTGTGTGAACTGTTTCAACCATATGTACAGTATCAACGCATACCAATGCATATAAATACACATCAGCTACCATTGTACAAATTATGGCGCAAAAATAGTCAAACATACAAACAAACCTACCGTTAAATCAACACTTTCTTCTTTTTTTTTTTCATTTTCTCTATTCTCTCGTGCAATGTGGTAACACTACTCATGCGTTTGAAACTAAGAGTAAGTTTCCAGCGGTAAACAATATACGGCAGGAGTTCAAAAGATATATGTATTTTAGCTTTTGCCATTGTTTATGGTCATACTTGCACTCAATTAAAAAAGCAAAAGATATGGACTACGACAGAGAACAATAATTGCATTGAGTCCATTTTGTTAGCAGCAAAAAAAAATCATTTCGACATAATTATAATTGGCAATGCCAATGCGGCTTTACTACGTATTGATATGCGGTTCTCGCCGCTGAAAGCCAATGGCATCTTTCATGGCTTCTATTCAATTACAAACATCAATGGCGATTGGTACAGAGTAATAGGATAACAGTTACTGGAACTAGGACAGTAGTCTACAAATTTTCCTCTCTATCGTTTAAGAAAAACTATCATTATCTGCTCACACAAATACCGTTTCTCAATTTATCCCCTGGTATGCGATACTAAAAAAAGAACATCATTTTTTTGCATCATAAACTGGCAAACCAAAAGGAAAATTCAATGGTCGCCGAATAAAAAATATATAAAATGATTCAATTTGTTTTCAATCATTGTTGAACGAAATGAAAAAGCGAATGATGAAAGTGCGTGTGTATGTGTGGGTGTAGATTATCCATAATGAATTTTTTTTGCATGTGTTATGACTGTTGTCCTTTTGTTGTTACATCATAGTTTCGTATGTGTCGTGGGGCCGTGTGTTATAGTTTTCACAATCAACAAATTCTATCAACAGAAGATTTCATGTGAATTTCAAAGCAATATGGAAATGGCTTTTGTGTATATTTATGAGAACGACAAAAACGTTTTATACATCGCACACGATGCAAAATATTGACATTTCCCTATCGTGCACACAATGGCGCGCATTCTTCATTTCTTTTTTTTACATGTAATTATATGGATAATGTAATAAATATAAATAATTTGTGTATATAATCACGTATGATTTGCTTATACAGAATGTGAAATGAACAAGAAAATATTATGTATACATACGTTGGGCACATGGTTAGAACGTGTGATATCGTGCAATCAACGATATCACCATATTCGATCTATATTTGGGCGAATGTTTCACCACTTGTGCTAATTATTATTATGTGGTTAAACTGCATCGTACCCATAATATTTATAATTGAAAAAAAACAATCAGTTGGCATTCGGATGTAGAGCTCTTTTTAAGGAAATTCGAAAATATTAGATATTTGTTAAATGTTGGACGATCTCAAAATTGCTTGTATATTTCTTTCTTTTAATATTGTATTGAAATTCTATTGATTTGGATGACATAATGAAATGATATGAATAGTTGTTAGGCGTCATTTTAAAAGTAACTTGTCACCATTCAAGCGCGTGCATTTGTTTTTTACCTTGTAAATTCAGACAAAGCCTCTGCAAATATACGGGGAAATTTTCTAAATATAATCATTTAGACTGGGGACGCAGAAATTGCACTATGATCCATCAATTTTTGGAATCAAAAATGATTGCGAACTAAATGCAGCGAGTGTGTAAGTGTGTGATATCTTCACCGTGTGTAGATTGCATTCTATGGTGCAATGTATTCGCAGAGAAGAAACACGTTTCCGAGCAAAATGTCTATACAAAATTTATTCACATGTATCTCTGTATTTTGGTGTTTCATACTCCGTTATGAGTGCTGAAAATTTATCAGTTCCATCGTCTTCTATTTTTCTCACTCTTCAACGGTCGCGCATTCGACTATCTCTCATTACAGAAGCAATGCGATAGTGACTGCTACTGGTTGAGTGTACCTATATGCATATATATGTGTGAATTTGAATCGTTTCTTTTTTTTGCAGCAAACATTTACTAAGGGCATTACTTTTCATCGTTTCTTGTTTGTTATTTTGTGTTAATGTTTGATTGTTTTTATGTGATTTTTATTGATTGATTTAAGCCAGCTAAGAAACAAGTAGCCATCTTTTTTACCACCTTTTTTTGATAGAATTTTCATTTCGGATGGTTTTTAACATTCATGTCGGTCATTGATGATTGTTATGAATCAATTTCTTTGACTTTTCGAATGGTACGGTGCTTAAAACTGCACTCAAACGCATCACAATTCGCCATATTTATTCATATAAATGAGAACAAGGTGTTTACAGTACAAAACGTTTCCAAATTATCAAGACAATCAATTATGTTTAGTTAAAACAGCAGTGAAACTGATAATCAAATTGTGTGAAGTCGGCGGCCACGTTTATGTGTGATTACTCTCACACACGGTGTCCAAGTGAATCAGTATTAGCAATTGGTGCGGTTTACGCAGAATACAGGAGAAGAAGCAAAAAACGTTGTGTGTACGGAAGCAGATTTATTGAAAATACACGCAGACCGCGTCAAAATACTTGAAGAAATGGCAAGCATGTTGGATGAAAGAAAGAGAGAGAGCGACACAGCGTAAAAATTACATACACAAAAATTCAAAATGAATTACATTAGTATGCGTACACATAGTGAGATACGCAAAAAAACACGATCATAGTAGCCACGGCACAATGAAAAACTGGTCTTCGAAATACGCGTAAACATTAAAATTTAACAAATGAATAAAATTACTGCAAAAATTAGATTCATATCCACAAAAACTATGTACAGTGTACATTTGGATTTTTTGTTTCGAAAACATTATATTTCTCTGGAGAATTTTTAGCTGTAAAAAACAAATAGCGCCGGTTAATTTTTATTTTATTGCTGTATGCGATTGCCGTAGTTCATATGAGCGCCAAAGATTGTCATCAAACGACGCACTAATGTGCTTGCGTGAGCAACGAGTTGAACAAAAGTGAGATAAATGTACAAAGGGAGACAGAGAGGGAGAGAGTGTAACGTAATTTTTGTTGTTGTCGTCATCGCGCGCACCGCCACTTTTGTGTGTGTTTTAAAGCATTGATACGGTGGAAACCGTCAATCGAAGCAATTTTCACGTTGTTGTTGGAAATATATTTTTTTTTGTTTCTTTCAGGAAAAATTTATTTGAAATATAACCAAAACTGGATATGAATATACATCTGACTATCTTTATTCTATAGATATATAGATATTTGAAGTTATTATGGAGGCAATTTTCACTCCAAATATTGTGCACTGTATTGACACACATACTACCTCTGTATGCAATGTATACACGAGGGATTCAGTCACACACTAATACACTCTATGCTGCTGCTGCTGCTGCGATCTTCTTTTATGTATGTATGTGTAATTTGCATTTGCAATGTAAGTGAGATATTTTCAAACGAACGAAACGAACTTAACGAACCAAGGAACGAACGAATAAACGAAATAAAGAAAAATAAATGTGTAACTTAATTTATACACAGGTTAATCACAACAAAATTTAAGGCAAATGGGCATGTAACAAAACATGAAAATGTATCAAATAACCAAAAAAGAGAAAAAATATATGACGAGACGGAATATGCGGCGCTCGCACTATGCTCTATATGTATGTGTATGTGCATGTATATGTATGTATGTGTGTGAGTGTTTTTTCCTGCTGCTTCTTTTTCGTTTATGCGACGAAATTGCTTTTACAAATTTCCGAAATTCATTACGAAATTATTTGAAATGGATAAGAAACAACTAACATGCTGATTGACGGCCAATAAAGTGTACAACGGCCACCGCCACCACCGCACAATGACAAAAATTGAAACTTTCTTAAAACTTAGAAAAACTCATCCACTAACCATCTTCATTTTTCTTGAACGCACACACATACACACACACACTTACGAGAGAATTTGAAAAAGAAAAAAACGAAAAATTGAAAACCAACGAAAAAAATAAATAAATATTGTGCTAAGAGTAAATGGGAATGAACAATACTGACCTGATTTGCTGGTCGGCCGCGTTTTTCCAATTCTATTCTTTTCTCCATTTTTGTGTGATGAATTCGGCGTTTTTTCCACTTCTTCTTTCGCTTGGAATTGAATTCGATTTAGTAATCGAGCTGTCTTTTTAAATTCTCGCGCAAAATTGCTTTTGTTTGTTTTCGCTGTTGAATCTGTCTTTGTGGCAGAATGTCTTAACTTCTGTTTCTGTTCAGCACTTCACAAATGCCCCGATGTGCCGATAAAATATTGTGTTGTTGGAAATGCTAACGAATAACGTAAATAAAATTGAATGAAATGAAAAAACCTCGTGAAAATACCGAAAAATTAAAATGAGCTATCGCTTTGCTTTCACACTCGTGCAGTTTTCTTGTTAAAAAAATAATAATTTGTTTTTGATTTTATTCAAATGTGCGAAACGAAATTTGTCTTATTAATTTTAATTTTATACTTTTTTTTTGTTATTCGGCTAACGATGATAATTTCTTGTTATTAATTTATTGTACAGCACAGAACCGAATTTTATGCGTGCTATTATTTGATAATATTTCTTTGAATAAACACGATTTATTGACGGATGCCTGTAGGCTTCAAATAAACGTGATTTCTCGATTTTTGACAAAATAAAATGAACGAAGAAGAACAACAAAAACTTTTTCTCTTCGCTTAGGTTGTTTTTTTTTTTGGTATATTTGAATATCGGTGTGTAATTGAAGAGAGGAAACTAAAACACTGTTCCGTTTGGAAATAAAAGTTTGTCTTCACACACAACTACGTACGCATTGACCAATGCTCGCGCTGTTGTTGAATTTAATATTGTTCATGTAATAATGTACGAGACACGAACATACCACACTTTGATGATGTTTAAGGATCGAGAAAGCAGTGAGAACGTGTGTATAATACGCGCGCATAAGTCAAAACCAAACAACTACCAAGACGACGATTGATATATCGGGTAAATACGAACAAACGAACGAACCAACGATATGTGCGTCGGCCGTCTCTATCTTGCCAATCAATTATTTAGCCGAATATCTCTGTTTCCCTTTTACAAAATACACGGCGTGTGACTGTACTACTATTGTACCAGAATGTCCATTGTTGGAATTGGTTTGGGTGCATATGTAGTGGTACAATATACAGCATTGACATCAGTCTATCGCCAAACGATAGAATATGCGTTGACACACTCACACATTCGACATACACATATATACACATACACGGCATTCGACTCATCGATCACGCACACCAATGCCAAGTAATACGGTCTAATACACATACATATACACATCGACTGTTATGATACGCGTACAATCAATCGTAGCACACTCATACTAATGCCAATGTACAATATTATGCATATTGAGACATTCAATATGTGTTTTCTTGAACTTGAGAGTTGAGGCGCTGCACACTGAATCGAGATATCATTGTGTATATATTCATCGAAACGCACATCGGCACTCTCATTTGTTGATAGTGTTACCAGATGAAAATGGCGCCAAAATTTATTGACGCGAACGATTCACAACCATATTTGGTGGATGTAAACATTTCTATACTTTTGTATTCATTTTATTATTTGATTTTTTTTCGGTTTCAATTATTCACAATATTCAATCGTCGTTTTTTTATCGGAATTATTCCATGACTCTCGTAATAATTTGAATTTTTTTTTCTGTTTTCACCTTATGAGCATTTTCTATTGGATAGTATTGGTATCAACTACCAATTTGTATTTATATGTAGGAACGCAGACAACGCAACTGATACTGGAATATTCTCACATTCCTTGCATGTTGCATTTTACTCTTTTGAGTGTTGGCATGCATACAACACGTTTGTTTGTTTAGACAAAAACGCTGAATTACTAAGGAAATTTTTTAAATCGATTTATGAACGAATCAATTTTGTACAATAGTTCATGAACAGTTTTTTTTTTTGTTCAATCTTCATTAAAGGTCCTTTATTAATAATTTCCATAAAATTATTAATTTAATTTAATAAATATTGAAAAATTGGAATTCGGTTACGAAATATCTTAAAAATACCGAGAAGAATTTGGAATAATTTTTTTTAATTTTATAAAAATTGAAGAAATACAAATAGGCACTTTGTCTATCCACACACACATACACAAGGGAAATTAAAAAATCTTATTTTCAATGTTGCTAACTTTTAACATAAATTCAATTATACTATGCATGTTAAGAATTTTACAATTTTTTCTAGAAAAAAAATGTTACTTCACAGTTATTGGAATTTACAATAAATGATACAGGCTTCATAATTTCATTGAGCCATGAATATAGTCCATGCATACGAATGAAGTATTATTCATTGTGTGATTTTTAATTCAAATAATTTATTATTAAAGGACTTACGATTTTTTGTTAAATTGCTGGAAAACTATAGAAGAAGTTATAAAAACAGGGATAAAGTATACATCCCCATTTGATTTTTTTTTTAGATTTAATCCAACATGGGAAATTGAAATCCATTTGGAGAGTATCCATTAGATGTTAATGACTGCAATATGCCTTGCATGAAATCCGAATTTGGCTACGTGAAAGATTGTTGTCAGTTCAGAAATAGCGCAATCGCATCACGCGAGAAGGCTCAACCTGGTACCATATTAAACAGAACATGTTGAATTTAATCAATCCAAATTGGGTTCATAATGTTCAAATATGATATTTGCTTAATGAAATATGGTCTATCTCTCTCTCTCTTCCGTTTTCTCACTCACGTATTCGCAAAAAGTGGTTCATTTTCGAAGTATTACTTGTATCATCAATGCGGTTTCATTGCTTGTGCGTGTCAATTATTCAGATTTTTGCACCCAAATTTTCTATAGACAAACTATTCCACTATTTTGTCAGGTGCAGCAAGTACTTTACAAGTATTTACTAATTCCTTTATTTAAATACGTTCGAAGAATACGGCAATTAAATCTCTCCAGCTTAGTTCACGAAGAATTGAGAAAAAAATATATGCTCGTGCCGAATTTAAATTATCCAACATTTCAATAATTATTCGGCACACACTCCAGGAAACGAACTTGATCTGGCTAATTATTCATTCTGACAAAATGATATATAAATACGTACAAATAAATCTAATTTATGTTATTTATGCAACCAATTTTAAGTTACTATTTTGAGGTTGAAAATAAAAATAAAATCAGGATAAAAAAAAGTGGAATACAGATGGAATAGTGGGCTGTTTGAACACAGTAATCTGTTTTATTCAACCGATGGATTTCGTGTTCCATTTCTCGTTCGTTTGCACTTTTCATTGCCTACATGTCCGAAGCAAACGATAAATTATTTAATTCTTTTGCTCTTTGAGAGCATCCGAGCATCTTGTGTGTATGTGTGGAAATATGTACTGCACGTTTAATTATTGTTTTGCAAAGCACATTTATACCAAGAGAGAGAGAGAGAGGGAGGGAGGGAGATAGAGAGAGAGTCTCGCTTCACCAAATGTACAATTCAACTGTGCCGTCTTTGGATTTTGGTTGGCAGAAAATGAATGTATACCAAATAAGAACGGCAACAAGTGCAACTGAAAAAAATCCGTCAAGCACTCGGGGAAAACAGGAAAAAATGAATGCTCACGCTGAAATATGCTTTATGTACGAGTACATCTTGCTTAATCAATCGAAGTTTTCGTGTGTTGTTTGTAAGACAATCTAATTTACCATTCTAAAGCAAAATATTCATTCGTACGCATTTTCAAACTCTATCACACGGTGGGCCGTTGCGAATAAAAAATAAGAATGAGAAAGCAAAAATAACGACAAAGAAATAGCGCGTTGCATGAGATAGATGGCAGAGAAAAATAGAGAGAGAGAGAGAGAGAGAAAACGAAAAAATTAAATATACTATATTCAAATATGCATGTTTGAGCACCATACAGCATGGCATGGTAGCTTCGCACATCAAAACACATAACATCATACACACAGCATCAACGGCGGCGTGTATATGTACAATTTGAGTGCGCTCATGTACATAGCTTCTCTCACTTTGTTGAAAAACCAAATCCAAACGGATAAAATACGGACCGAACGAACAAAAAAAATATCTACGGTTTATGTATATACATATTCTATATAACATAAAGCATTTTGGCTGGTGTGCTTTTTTTTACACATAAGATTCCGAGCACATTGAAAGCGATAGCGCGCACTGTTCCACAACATTTGCGTGCGAAATGCGAGTTTAGTATAATATGAGGCATTGTAGAAAACAGTCGTTTTTATTCAGCTCGATTTACAAGCCCTTTTATTGTGTATATTCGCAATGTGTGCACACGTTTGTTTTACGTACTGACAACAGCATTAAAATATATACACATATAGATTGAGCTTCATTTTCTCTCATTCAACAATACTCACTTGAAGAGTTGAGCTTTGATCAAAAAAAGAGAAAGAAAGAAGATAAATATAGTTGGAGAAGAATAAGCTTGTGTTGTCTCTCTTTCATTGAGAAAACAATTAACGAACAGTGAAAACAAAACAAACAATGTGAATATAAATACTACGTCTGGTATGATGAGTGAAGAAGAAAAGAAACATACGAATAAGCTCAAATAAAAGTGATGACAAAAAAGCTACAAGCAAATAGAAATATTAACAAGAAAATCGGAAAAATTGTGGCACAATCGGATAATCTTTGTATGTATATTTTCCGTTGAAGATGAAAAGTGCGTGAAAGTGAAGTGAATGCAAAAAAAAAAATAATAATATACAAAATACGAATTTCTTGACTAGACTTTTGTCGACAGCGATTTAATACATCACATACCCACATGGCCCGGGACAACCATACAGTCCGTTGATATTCATCTGATAAATCTTGTTCGTCAAAAATCAACTTGCTACTTTTTGGTGTTTATACCGTAGAACTTATAAAGGTGATGAAAAATCCATCAAAATTGTCGTTTTCTTTTCGAGAGCACGTCGTGCTTTAGGGCTCATTTGTAAATGTCTCTATTGAAGTTGTTTTTTTTTTTTTTGTATTTTTGAAGTAAGAATCAATTTCAGAAAACGAAAGTCCCATTATTGGTATCGCACCGAAATGTTGTTTTTTCCCAAACTCTAGTAAAGCTCAACATAACATTCACCATCAAAATTGATACAATCAAAAAACGAAAATCAGGAGCTTGTATGTTGAACGTTATGACCAAAAATTATGGTTGAACAGATAGTTTATCTTTAGCTTTTCTTTATATCTCTATCCCCCTTATTCATTGTTGCACATTTACCTTCTTTGTTGTTGCTCTTTTTCGAGCACATTGTCCTAACGTATGCGAACCGTAAAATTGATTAGAAAATGGTGGAAAAGCATAAGGGCCGTACGCAATTCATGCGTTATCGTCGATAATGTTAAATGACTTTGATGATTTTACCGTTTTATGTACATAAAACGTGAGTCCGTTTATCCCGCATAACATTATGCGAGAATGGAACGCGTGTGGGCTGAACGACATGAGTGAGTGAAAGAGTGAAAAAAAGTAATCCTCCTAATTAGGTGCACATCTCACACGTTCAAAGCAAGTCCTTGGTCCAAAGATATAATTTTGTCTCTCTCTATATATATATTTCTTTGCCCCTGTCTCTGCATAGACATTAACCGTATGAAGGTGAAGTGCATTATTGCTTTAAAGCCGTAACATTTGAATTCAAATTATACACACACACACATACTTGAAACACAAAAAGAAGTCAATTGCACAAAGCGCAAATGTGAATCAAAAGAATAAACCAATAACGAGCTCTCTAAAAAAAGCGTCTATTAGTATTGTATCTCAAG